ACTACAGTCTGGAGAGATGGCTCAGGGATCAAGAGCACTTGCTCCTTCTGCAGAGAACTCTGGTATCAGGGGATTCGGCGTTCTCTCTGATCTCTGAAAGCAGCAGGCACGCATGTGGTGCTCATACATGTAGGCAAAACATTCATACATAAAGGAATGTTAAAATATCACGTCATTTCCTTTTCCCTTTCTTCCCTCCAACCCTTCCCATAAAATATAAATCCCCACCAAATCCAGAGCCTTTACAGCCTGCTCAATCCATTTGATGCCCCCTGTCTGTATATGAATCCAAGGCTGACCACTTGCTCTATTGGATATCAAAAGGAGGGGCTTTTCACAACACCTGCTGTCCTCTGCAGCCCTCAGGTGCCTGTGGTTGTCCAGGTGAGATCTCCCCTTCCGAGCTGGCGTGTGTATTGATGCCCTCCTGTTCATGCCTTTTTTATTTATTTATTTTTAGTTTTTTGAGACAGGGTTTCTCTGTGCAGCCCTGGATGTCCTGAGACCAGGACATCCTGTCCTGTCACATCCTGTCCTCTGTAGACCAGGCTGGCCCCGAGTTCAGAGTTCAGAGATCTGCCTGCCTTCAGAGTGCTGGGATGGATTATAGGCATGTGCCACCACTGTCTGGCTATCTTTTTTAGATAGTCAAGTCTTTGAGACTACATGGGCAGAGCTCTCTGACATTTCTAGAGGCCTTCCATACATTTATTCAAATGTATACATGAACAACTTAAACATAAATAAATGAACTATTTACAAAAATCATCCAGGGCTATGGTTTTCAATGCCAAAAGGCAGAAGACTCACGTGATTGCTTTTAATACTTATTCATTTTGGTTTTTCGAGACAGGGCTTCTCTGTGTAGCTCCCGGCTGTCCAGTAGACAGTTCTTTAGGTCATTCACATATGTACTGTGAGGAGGGAGCGTGCACAGCCCTAGCATCACAGGACAAATTAATTGAGATGGTTCTCTCTTTCCATCCTGCAGGTTCTGGGGACCAAAACCAGGTTGTCAGGCTTGGCAACAGTGCCTTTACCTGCTGAGCCGCCTCACCGGCTGGCCTCTCCCAGTTTTATCTCAACATCCACTTTCTCCATTAGTAAGTAAACACCCACCCACCAAATCTGAAACCCTCCCAAAATAGCCCTCTAATACGTTATTTCCAGGATGGGGGCTGTGCCTCCGCTGCCTCGGACTGATGAGTGATTCTAGGCTGTGCTGGGATTACAGGCCGGGCCACTATGCCTGACCATCACACTGCTTCCCATCTGTTTTTTTTTTGTTGTTGTTGTTTTTGTTTCACAGTAGTTTTAGATCCTGTCCTGGAACTAGCTCTTGTAGACCAGGCTGGCCTTGAACTCACAGAGATCCTGCTGCCTCTGCCTCCCTAGTGCTGGGATTAAAGGCGTGTGCCACCACCACCCGGTTTTGCTTCCCACCCTTTTGCCTTTTAGACAGTCTCTCCAGAACAGCTATTGCCCACACCAGTAAAAGATTAGGCTGAGACTGGCCACCTCAGCATCAGGAATGGGATCTGACTGACTTAAACTGGCAACTGGTTCCTATCCCTGTCACTGCCCTGTAATGGATACAGTGTTGACCTTGTGATCCAAATCCACACAATCAGAGTGACAATATGACTTTTGGCAGAAATTGTAGAACTCTTATCCCTTCGTGCTCTGGACAATATGACATGGACATTGTAGCCCCAGTGGGTGAAGATGGAAGTCTTGAGGTCAGAGTCCACGGTCAGAGGGTACATGGCAGAGAAACAGAGTCAGACTTCTGTAGACACTGCAGGGTCAAACCTGAAGCCTTTGCTAAGGACACCAAGTAGAGTATGGTAGGCAAAGCTGTAATCTCAAGCTTTGGGAGATGGAGGGAGAAGGAAGGATCAGGGTTTGGAATCCTTCAGTTACACAACCAGTTCAAGGCCAATGAGAGAGAGAGAGAGAGAGAGAGAGAGAGAGAGAGAGAGAGAGAGAGAGAGAGAG